ATAGAATAGAATAGAATAGAATAGAATAGAATAGAATAGAATAGAATTCTTTATTAGCCATGTGTGATTGGACAAACAAGATATTTATCTCCAGCACATAAGCTCTCTGTGTACAAACAACAACAAAGTGATAGGTTATAAATAATAAAACTATATGATATATGACATTATGTATCAGGCATGTCAAACTCGCAGCCTGCAGGCCAGATGCATCACTCACTGGCCACGCCCATGCCTGGTTTAGTGAAGGGGAAAAAAGTCACAATATGTCTCGTGACAATGCATGACAGCACAAGTTTGACACCCCTGTTATATATCATATAGATCTATGATACGAACAAAGTGATAGTCATATATCATTGAGAAGACCCACTTTCTGTGTTAGTATTGCTTAATTGACATTGACTCTGACCAATTATGTACAGTGGACAATAACTAGGTAAGATAGGTGCATCCTCAAGTAACCAGGCCAGATGCTATGAAAGACTTAGTAGTGAAATGAGCATCTTAAAATTCCATCTGGAAAGTTCTTAAAAATTGGCATGCTCAGAGGGGAAAGCATGGGTATTACTTTGGGATATTTCTTTTTCTCTTTAGAAAAAGATCTCTGCAATACATTTAGGACACCACATAAAGCTTCTTCCCTTTTTAAGAAACATCTCAGCACTGATAAAGAGGTCACTAAACTTCCTTGACCCTCAAAGGTGGTTTTCTTTCTATTTGTACTCTGAATAGCAGAGTTTCAGAGAGGCTTCTACCTGTTATAACATTTGGCCTTTCAGGTTCATCCAAAGGATTATTGTACCTTTGTCATGATACTTATTTACATATTTGGATTCATGGATAATCGAAATAGACATGAACAATAAAAATGGTCAAATAGATAAACTGTTTTGAATTATTTTTCAAGTGACGCTGATTGATAATAAATGATACAAAAATGTTATGCACTGCCACCTGTTTAGATTATTTTTAAGAGATTTTTGCAAAAGTAAACGAATGAACGGGTAGTTCTTACTCAATGTTGGTAATCAGGATCAGCAAGTTTGTTGCTAAATTATTTTGGTGAATTCCTCTCTTTTTTCTTTCTAAGTAGGTTTTTAGAAAAACAAAAATTACAAGTGGTCCTCGACTTATGACTACAGTTGAGCCCAAAATTTGTATTGTTAAGCAAGATCATTTTAAATGATTTTCGCCCCATTTTATTACCTTTCTTGGCGCGGTTGTTAAGTGAATCACTGCAGTTGTTAAGTTAGTAACACCATTGTTAAGTGAATCTAGCTTATCCATTGAATTTGCTTGTCCAAAAAAATCACAAAAGGTGTTTATGGGACCTGGGTTATATGCCAGTTACCAAGCAGACAAATTTTGATCATGGTCATGATTTAATCATGATCAATTTTTTACACGGGGATGCTACAACAGTCATAAGTGTGAAAACAATCATAAGTCACTTTTTTCAGTGCCATTGTAACTTTGAATGATCATTAAACAAATAGTTGTAAGTCAGGAACTACCTGTATTTTGGTATTATTTTTGTCCACAATAATTGTCCTGAACCTGAGCTAATGTGTTAATGGGTGCTGTACATATATTTTATTGTAATGGCTGTTTTTGTTGGTATTGTTCTGTTCTGTTCTGTTACTAATTATTTTAAATTTTATTCTGGATGTTTTATGCCACAGAGTTTTGGAATGTTGTAGGTTTAACAAATTAAAATACTATGATGATGACAGTGATGATTTAATTATTTGTTGTTTTCTTTTTCACAATCATTGCTCTGCATGTAGTGTCATTGCCATTAATTGCATGGCCATTTCGTTTTGATTAGTGGTAGTTATAATTTGTTGTAATTTGGAAACCTTTCTTCCTTTATTTGGAATTTATTGTCAAGATAGAGAAAAAAAGTTAAGCTAATCTTGAATTATCAATATTGAGACACCTATTTCTTCTTAACTATGTCTCGTTTACATTATTTTTAAAAAACCGTAAGAAGAAATTATTAGTTTTGTTCCATGACAGTCTCCATGACAACAGTCTAATTAATCCCCATCAATCTGGCTTTGGTTCTCTTCACTGAACTTTACACCCCAGCTTCATTTCATGTGTCATATCTGCTAAGCACTGGATGAAGGTCACTTGTAGGTATGGTTATTCTTCATGGGAAACATAATTTAATATATGTAAGCATTCTTCTTACCAGCTGACTTTTTCCTGTTTTGTTACCAATGAACATTCATCTATTCATCATATTTAAGTGTTTATGTATTACTGTTCATTATTTATAGAAATGAGCTAACAAGTTAACTATTTCAACAAAAATGCTTACATAACACCAGTGGCTAATTTCTTTTGATTGTGGATGAATCAAACATGCATCTCTCCCAAGAATTTTGGCAATACAGGTAGTCCTCAAGTTACGACCACAATTGAGCCCTATGTTTCTGTTGCTAAGCAAGACAGTTGTTAAGCAAACTTTGCTCCATTTTACGACCTTTCTTGCTGCTGTTGTTAAGTGAATCACTACAGTTGTTAAGTTAGTAATCTGGTTGTTAAATGAATCTGGCTTTGTCTGAAGGTCGCAAAAGAGAATCACATGACCCAAGGACATTGCAACTGCCATGAAGATGAGTCAGTTGCCAAGTTTCTGAATTTTGATCACATGATCATGAAGATGCTGCAGTGGTCATATGTGTGAAAAATGGTCGTAAGTCACTTTTTCAGCGCCATTATAACGTGGAAGGCTCACTAAATGAAATATCATAAGCAAGGACTACCCGTACCCAGTTCATTTATAAGTGACAGACTGAATAATCTCATTGGAAGATTTTGTTTTAATTTTTTCAACCCAATTTTATTTTTATATTTTATAGCTTTCCTTCATTTCTTTATTAGCATGAAAGAAGATTGCCTTTTTTGTTTTGATGTTGATGTTGCAGATGGATTAAGGCTATGCATCATATAGGGTAGTCTTGAAGCAAGAGGGATAAAGTGCAGTGGTAAACATAAAAAAACTGTAAAATAAAAGGGGACTGATAGAGAAAGCTATTTAAAATAATAACTATCATTGTTCCTGTTATGGAGAACAAATAACTGGTATGTCCAAAATGATAAAATGATATGTATTTAGTGATACAACAACATGTTCTTTAGAATCTTAATAGCAATAGCACGTAGACTTATATACCGATTCACAGTGCTTTTACAACCATTTCTAAGTGGTTTACAGAGTCAGCATATTACTCCCAAAAATCTGGGTCCTCATTTTACCCACCTCAGAAGGATGGAAGGATGGTGAGATTTGAACTGCCAAATTGCAGACAGCCAGCAGTCAGTAGAAGTAGCCTGCAGTACTGCATTCTAACCATTGCACCACCATGGCTCTACTGATTTCTACAAAATCTTCCAAAGAGATTATTCAGTCTGTCATTTAATCTGCTGTGCCGCTGAGCTTTACTGCTGTGCTCTGAAATCTTTTTGGAGCATTTATTTATTGATTCATTTTTATTTATTTGCTTCATGAATTATTTTAACGGCATATAAAATCCAACCCAATATAAAACATAATATAATGAAACCAAATTAATCAACATAAACATATCGTAATCAGCAAAAGCAATCCCAGAAAGGTTTCAGCTAATAGTTGGGATATTCTTCTTCATGAGTAGACTATTAAAAGGAAGGTGAGCTGCCATGCAAAAGTACTCCTCCTATTACACATGCAATATAATGTAATTTGGAAAAAAACAAGATGGTTTTGTTTGCTCTTAAAGTGTTTTGTTTTCTCCAGAATGGTCATTCAGAATGTAGTATGACATTTCTGTTCTTCTCTTTATTCCTTCCCTGTCTGTCTACTTTCTCAAGATTGCTGTGTACACTGTATTTTGGCCTGCTTGTTCTGTGAATTCGTCACTCTCTGTGGCCTCATCCTGGAGCAAACCTCGTGTGGAATCTGCCCAGGGGTGGCCTGCTGCTGTGGAGAAAAAATGGGAGATGAATGCAACTGTGACATGGACTGTGGCATTGTGGATGCCTGTTGTGAATCATCAGACTGTTTAGAAATCTGTATGGAATGTTGTGGGATTTGTTTCCCATCATAGGTTTGTATTTTTTTTCTAGTTTTTGTTGTTATTGTTGAGTTTTGAAAAATTAGAGAGGGCTGTTCTGTGCCTTTCTCTATTTCTGATAAATTCTTTCAAAAGACACTATTAAATGTTCTCACAGCAACCTGCTAAGCACTCTTCATTTTTTAACTATTAGTGAAAAGTTGTAGATAATTTTTGAATAGTAGGCCATAAAGTATAAATGCAGGACAAATCATTCACGCAAATGAAACAAAAAATAGACAGATGTATCTGGAAAAAGAAACAAGGAATAACTTCTTTAAATTTTTGTTGTTATTTGATCTTCCTTTTTATAGCTGGACAATCAAATAAGAACATTTATTTTAATGATTCTTGATTAGAGAAAATTGTAATTGTTTTCAGGCAAATATAATTTGTTATGTATTAAATATATTTTATCTTAACTGGAATGCAAATTAATTTATGTGATCTAGTCATCTTATTAAGGTCTGAAGAATAATCTTGTTCATATTTTATAGTACAGTCTTGTTCATGTCTATTCTAAGTAATGACTGCAGCTTTAAAGTACTATTTACTTCTATAATTTTTGCATTCCATATGTAATATTGTAAAGAGAGCAGCCTAGTGGCCTAGTGGTGAAGGCGCTCACCTCCCATTTGGAAAGTTGAGAGTTCAATCAGAGGTAGCGGCAGATGTTTCTATCCTAGGGTGCAAAGAAAACGTATCTGCCACAAACTCCACATAGGTGTCAGGAAGGGCATCCAGCCGTTAAATGCTCAACTCCATCCAGTCACTCTAACTCTACCCCAAATTAAGAGACTACACGGTCACAAAAAGGGAGTAATATTATAAATAGTTAGGTTGGTGAAGTGAATAAATTTAAGTAAATAATCAAGAATGAAGGAGAACGGGTTATATTGAAAGAAAATGAAGCTAGATGTACAAAAAATGCTTTCCCATGCAAAGAATAAAAAAGGTTTTTATAAAACTTCCAATAGTGTATGAAACCATTATGCAAGAGATTTAAAAACTATATTTAGATTTCATCCAGTATTTGAAGTTGTTTAAAGGAGAAGGAATATATTTAGAAAATAGGTAATATTCCTGAATTGTTCTCATGGAGTAACTAAAATCGAGTCCAATGTTTTTAATAACAGAATTTTCTATACCTTGGAATATTATGTGTATTATGTCTCTTCAAATTTTTATTGTAATTAATAATTTATGTATACTATAGAGACCCTTTTAGCTGTTCTCATTTAATTCCTTGATCTCAGTAAATTTTTATTCATTTCCATTTAAAAAATAACCCATTTTATGATAAATAAAAATCTGAATTAGAAATGGTGATTTATCGATATTTACTTCTAAGTTTTTAGTGACAAGAAAATTTACAGTGCTCTCAATGTACCTGCTTGCATATGTTGAAAATTAAATTAACTATTCTTATTTCATATTTATTGATGCTGCGACAATTGTTCCATTCCCAGGAGGGGCTTCTGTTTGATTTTTCATGATCTTCACTTATTTTTTGGTCTTTGATACATGTGAAATACATTTTGATAAAATTATTTGATCTTAAGTTTTAGTGCATTGGCAAATGAGTTAGTTGGGGGAAGAGCAGGAATAACTTCTGCCCAACTCTTTGATTCTGAACAATGTGGGTGGATGCAGGGTCATTTATATTGACAGAATTAAAAACTATTGTATAACCAGAATTTTAAATAAAGTTTAAACAAAGTTTACATTGAGTAAACAAGCAAGATCAATTGTATGCTCTTAATTATAAATTTTGAAAGGTTGAAGCACAATTGTAAATGAGAGAGGCATTCTTTTCCTTGGGTTATTGATTTCAATGGCTAGCAAGAGAGATTTGTTACATACAGTATTGGAAGATCTTTTTTTTCTTTGTAAATTTTATTGGTTTTGAAAAACAAACATAAACAAACAAAACATAAAAACATCAAACATTCTTCCATATGTATACAAACAGTGTGCCGTTTGGTTTACAAATCATTTTGTGCATCTATTTCATAGTCTTCAATTACAGTTACATTACATAAAAGCTCATATTATCAATCAAAAATTAGATATCCTAATATCATTATTAATCAATCATTTGACTATAGTTTTATTCATTCATATTTTACGAGATAACCATAATTTACTTAGTTTATTTTATAACAGTTCATATTATCCTCCTAAATCTATCCTAAAAACATTTTGTAGATATAATAAAAAAGAAATACATCTTTATATATTTATTATTTTCTAAAACTCTACATATTTCATTACTATATTTTATTATCTAACCATTGATAGAAAAGGTCCCAAATTTTATAAAATTGTTTATCCTCTAGTTCTCTGATTTCAAATGTCAATCTATTCATTTCAGCACATTCCAATATTTTCTTAATGATTTCCTCCTGTGATGGTATTTTCTCATTTTTCCAATTTTTAGCAAATACAATCCTAACTGCTGTTAATACATTTACAATCAGGTATTTCAAATCTTTGCTATATGTTTCAGGTAAAATTCCCAATAAAAATATCTCTGGTTTCAAATCTATATGTTTTTTTGTCATTTTTTTCAACCACATGTGGATTTTAGTCCAGTATTTTTTAGCTTCTGCACAAGTCCACAACATATGGTAATATGAGCCAGGTGTCTGATGACATTAATAACATTTTTTGGATTTATTCTTGAACATTCTTACTATTCTTGTCGGCGGAAAATGCCACCTGTAAAACATCTTCTACAAATTTTCTTTATATGCTATTGACATTGTCATTTTATAATTTTGAGACCACAATTTTTGCCATTTCTCTAGATCAATCCCATATCCAAAATTCTTCCCCCAAGCAATCATAGTTTGTTCTTCTTCTAGTTTAATTTCTAATAAATATGCATACAGTTTTTAAATCACCTTTTCATCAGTACCTGTCAAAACCTTATCTAGATCAGTCAGTTTATCATAGAAACCTTCTGTTTTAAAATCTTTATCACACCTTGAATTTGCGCATATGAAAAACAATTCATCTTTATATTGTTCCTCTAGTTTTTGCATAGATTTAAGTTCACCCTTTTCATTCAATATTTCACCATATCTAACTGTTTGTTCCTTTTTGTATATTATAGGTTAAGAAAATGCTTCAATAGTCGATAACCAGACTGGAAATTTCAAATAACATTGTCTTTTAATCTTCTCCCAATTTAACCACAAAGACTCCCGTGTATGATGTCTTCTAAAATACCCCTGTATTTTAGTTCCCTTGTACCATATAAAAGCATGCCACCCCAACAACAAATCATGTCCTTTTAATGTCAACAATCTAGTATTTCTTAATGTTATCCATTCCTTGACCCACATCAGGTTTGTAGCTTGGTAGTACAACTCCCAATTAGGCAAACCAAATCCTCCTCTAATTCTGGCATCTTGCAAAAGCTTTAACTTTATTCTCGCTTTCTTACCTTGCCATATATATTTCAACACAATTTTATTTAAATCTTCAAAATAATCTTTTCCAAGCCTAATTGGAATTGTTTGGAACAAATGTAAAATTCTGGGTAATATATTCGTCTTGGTTGTTGAAATTCTCCCTATTAGTGACAGTTATAGATTTTCCCGTTTCACCAAGTCTAGCGCTATCTGCTGTTTAAGTCTGATATAATTATTCTCTTTTAATGTACTACATCTTGCTGTCAAATGTATCCCCAAATACTTGATCTTATTCGTGACTTGAATTTTCAATAGATCTGCCAATTCTTCCTTTTGTCTTAATAACATATTCTTTGTCAAGATCTTTGTCTTATTTTTGTTTATTTTCAAACCAGCCACCTTGCCATATGCCTCTATCTTTTCCAATAATTTTGGTGCTGTTTCTAGGGGGTCTTCTAAGATAAAAACCAAGTCATCTGCAAGGCTTGCAGCTTAAATTCTTCCTTTTTAATTTTCATTCCTTTTATACTCTTTTCATTGCTAATATTTCTGTTTAATACTTCCAAAGTTAACACGAATAGCAAAGGTGATAGTGGGCACCCTTGTCTTGTTCCTTTTCTTATATTGATAGAGTCTGTCAGTTCTCCCTCTATCATTACCTTTGCCGTTTGCTTGTAGTGTATAGCTTCTATTGCTTGAATAAATTTTCTACCAAAACCCATCTGTTCCAACAATAATAACATGAATTGCCAATTCACATTATCAAATGACTTTTGTGCATCTAGAAATATCAAAGCCATTTGTTTTTCAGGACGTGCCTCATAGTATTCCAAGGTATCCAAAGTTACTCTCATATTATCTTTAATTTGTCTCTTTGGCAGAAATCCATTTTGCTCAGAATGAATAAAGTTATTTAAATATCTTTTAAGTCTTTCTGCCAATAATGAAGCAAACATTTTATAATCTGCATTTAGTAGAGAAATAGGTCTATAGTTCTTGACTTGCAATGGATCAGCCTCCTCTTTTGGAATAAGTGTGATATAGGCTTCTGTCCATGATTGGGGTATCTTCTTCTTTAGCATAACTTCATTCATAACTTCTAACAATGGGAGATTCAACAATTCTTGTAATGTTTTATAAAATTCTGCCGGAAGTCCATCTGGGCCTGGTGCCTTTCCATTATTTTGCTTCTTAAGCGCTTCAGTTAGCTCCATCATAGTTATATTGCTTTCTAACATTTTTTCAGTCTCTTTGGGTATCTTGGGTAAATTAGCATTCTGTAAATACTGCTTAACTCTTTCCTCATCAATATTCTCTTGCTTATATAATTTCCCATAAAAGTCTTGACTGATTTCCTTCTTCTCTTTACTGCCATGGCAAACTTGGCCTTGGTCATCTATTAACTGCAATATTTTCCTTGATTCTTTCTCCTTTCTCAATTTATATGCTAACCATCTACCTGGTTTATTTGCATTTTCAAAGTAGTTCTGTTTAGCACCTCTAATTTTCTGTGCTAATTCTTCTTTCTCTATTTGACCCATTTTGTGTTTAATTATATCCATTTTTGGCTTAATGTCCTTTTTCTGTGGCATTTTCTGTAGCTCTTTTAGTATTGGAAGATCTTTTATAAAGCAAACAGCTGGCCATAATCTTTGGATAAAGGGGAATATATACTGTGCCCTGAGTAATTATGCTTTCAGCCATCTATTTAATAGCACACAATTATTCATTATTTAAAATAGATTAACATTACCAAACAAACATACAGATCATTAGATGAAAGGAAGAATAAATGTACTTATTTTGTATTTAAGGTATGCTTAACTTCGCCATTTTAGAATGGGATTGTATATCAACTGCCTGTTAATTCAGACATATAAATACCTTTGTGGCTAGTTTAGTACTATGTTTATCTGCTAAGACTACATTTTTATCCTCTTTCGCTGAGGCATTTTCAATTTCTTGCTCTGTTGAGTACTTCAAAATTGCATCATACCATAGAATATTATGTAATTTTGAAATTAAAATATATTACCATCCCATCATAGAAAGTGATTTTAATCCTTTAAAGCAAATGCAAGGAAGGTATATACACTTTTTTAAAATGTCAAACTACTTCAATATAGCAATTACATATGTATTCTTCAAATGGGTATATTTTTATTTATACCTACTTCATCTGTAAAGTAGAAGTCTTATTTCATTTCATTTCTCCAACTCTTCTACAGTATAGCTATGTCTTAGATTTTAAAAGCCTGAGACAAATATCTTCAAT